TTATGTGTATTTTAAAGCAAGGGTGACTCATTGTTTGCTTCTTGACGTTTTTAAATTTCTCCCATGCAAGAGGTAGGGATCAGCCATCACCATCTTGTTTTCATGGTTGGGTTGGTCCATAAATCCTTAACATGCCATGTTTGACTTCTCCAGAATTCTTCATCATTCAGTAATGTAGAAACTGGGGACAGGGAAGAACTGGAAATGCCAACATTTGACCAGATGTTTCAACTGTAAACTGCAGTTCAAAATCTGCCTCAAACTGAAAACTGTAGACTGGATGTTGTAGTTCCATGATGGCGAACCTATGGGCATGCATGCCACAGTTGGCACGCAGAGCCATTTGTACGGGCACGTGAGCCACAGCCAAACTTATCTGTACTGTGCATGCATGTACCTCCTAGCTGTTTTCCGGCCCATTTGAGGGAAGCCTCTGTAGCCTTTGGAGGTTGAAAAACTGGCCTTCTGGAACTACCGTAAGTGTTGAAATGGGCCTGTTTTTTGGCCTCCAAAGGCTGCAGAGGCTTCCCTTGAGCCCTTGGGAGGGTGAAAACAGACTCAAACGGGCTCCGGAGGCCCCCTGGAGGCTAAAAACAGGCACTTCTGGTATTTCCAGAAGGCCCTTTTTTCGGCCTCCAAAGGCTGCAGAGGCTTCCCTGTAGCCTCCAGGAGGGCAAAAATGGCCTCAAATGGGCCAAATATCAGCTGGAAGGTGCGTGCATGCGTGGTGCAGGTAAAGGGGTGGGGCAGGGGTGTTGTGTGTGCATGCATGGGGGGGGCATTGCATTGTGGGTGCCGTCGCGCGCTTACAGCTTTTGGCACAGCATAACAAAAAGGTTAGCCATCACTGTTGTGGTTGGTGATAGATGGTGCAGATTCAGGGTCAAAGAAAATGGCTGGTTCCCAGCTGGGAGAACCTGAAGGCCCCAGTCCTATTCCTCCTGCCCTTAAGGGATATATCAGCAGTCCTCTTTACAGAGAGTCCTCGACTTATCAAGCACAGCAGAGCTCAAAATTTCCTTTGCTAAGCAAGGCAATCGTTTTGCCCCTTTTTATGACCCATTTTCTTGCCACAGTTGTGAAGCACATCACTACGACAGGGTTCCAAGTGATAGACCCATAGAAAGCAAAACTCCGAGGCAGACAAATTCCTCAAAGAATAGCTTTATTGGAGATATCATATTGGCCCAAATCTGGTGAAAACGACTCTGAAGGTTCCCGCAGTTTTCACCTACCGTAATTAAAAGAGAACGTTTTCCCACAACTCCAATCAGTCAGTCACATGGTCCAATCAAGGTGCTGTCTGGTTGCCTGGTGACAACACCCCTCCTCTCTGACCAGGTGCGAGAATGATCTTGGTTCCCAAGAGAAAGTAATTCATTTTGGCTACAAACCCCAGCTATCTCTATTTCCCCCCTCCCTTTCCCTCAGCTCCATTGTGGCAGCACTGAAACTCCAAGATAGCTCCGGTCAGGTCAGCTTCACGGTTGACACCCTGACGTTGTTAAGAGAAACCACGTAGTTGTTAAGTAAACCCAGCTTCCCCGTTGCCTTTGCTTGTTGGAAGCCAGACGGAAAGGTTACCAATGGATATCACCTGAGCCCAGAACAAATGTGGCTCTTGTGGACTGCCTGGATTTTGGTCACGTGACCATGAGGATGCTTTCAATGGTCCTAAATGTCCTAAAACTGTCATAAGCACTTTTTTCAGAGCCGCTGTACGGTCACTAGACGGTTGCAAGTCGCGGACTGCCTCTGTTTCCTTTTCTCAGTTGTGTGTTGCCTTTTGAGGAAGCTCTCAGCGACAACACATAAGGGAAAGTCTGACCCAGCCTGCATTGCAGGTGTGTGTGTGTGTGTGTGTGTGTGGTGTTGGTGCGGTACAGCAGAGAAGCTCCTTCCCATCTCTGGCGTGGAATGAGAAGAGAAGCAAGGCCCAAATCCAGGGAGGAGATGCAAAATCAGCAGAACATCCCAACCGGGCCAGCCTGTTCCATGGTCTTCTGGAATGGCGCAATCAACATGGATCCAGGGTGGGAAAAAAAAAATGCAGCATTTTTTATATCCCAGGACCGAATTCTCTATGTAACGGTTGCCTAATTATACTGGAAAACAGGAGATTCCGGGCAGCAATAAGTCCCGATCCATATATCCGCATACTGTAGATCAAGGGTCTCCAACCTTGGCAACGTTAAGACTTGTGGACTTCCAGCTCCCAGAATCAACTCTGGGAGTTGAAGTCCACAAGTCTTAGAGTGGCCAAGGTTGGAGACCCCTGCTGTAGACAATCTCCGAAATCCATTACTAGCCGATGTTGTGATGGGCATGGATGTCTTTCAAGCGAAGGAAGGCTGATTTCTGGAAGGTGAGACTGTTTATGGCCACTGATGGTTATGTTTTTCTTCCAGAATTGGAGGTGGCAGTTGAAGAAGCTGGTGTTGAGAAGGGCCAAAGTGTGTTTGTGTTGGTATTTCCTGGAGGGCATCCGACTGGCCTCTGTGACTGGGCCATGCATGAATTTGGACGGATGCCCTGGGGTGTGAAATGTAGACTACCTCCACAATGGTCTATCCCTGCCTGGCAATGTTCTGTCTTAAAAGAGCGGCTAAAAGTCTATCCACACCGGATATTGCATCTCTCAAGGCCAAAAACTACAAAGGCAGCAATTAGATTCCAACATTTGCATATCAGTGATTGCATGACCTCTGTAGATGTCACACGCTAAATAAATAAAGTCGCTGCCCTCAGCCTTTGTTTAGCCCTAGGAGGAATTGTCCATGACGCATGACAGAGAGGACTAATAAAATATATGGGTTTTTAGATAGAATTCAAACAGACATCGAATATTTGGAGTGTTTCCAATTCTGTTGTCCCTGAAATACCATTTAACAGAGGTAATGGAGATGTAGGGCACGGATCCCGACACCCTGTTCCTATAGTAAAATCCTCTGGGAGTTGTTCACAACAACTCTGTTTTATCTTATTCTATCCTGTGATTCACGATGAATGTATTTATGATGGCTATGATCATGATTTGTCACTTATATCTTTTATGTACGCTGAGAACTTATGCACCGAAGGCAAATTCCTTGTGTGTCCAATCACGCTTGGCCAATAAAGTCTTCTGTTCTATAAATCAAGTACAATTTCAGTAAGAATTTTTTTAAAAAAGCAGTCCCCACAGAAAAGCAAAGTCTTGAGGCACAAAAATAGCCTAAAGCTAAGGCAGAGTCAGAAACCTGCAAAGCAGACATACTGTAGACACGACCAATCTCGATGCTTACGGTATTCGGGGAAGATACTGCAAAACTGGGGCACCGTGGAGGTGAAAAGAGCCTCTGTATTGAGCCAGGTGCTCCCGCCTCTCCTCTGGCCCTTAAGAAGAAGACCCCTGAAAAGCTCCCAGCCAGTTTGGGTGAATGCAGGCGATGGGGGAATTCTGTGCCCTGAAGAACCTTAACAGTCCAATTCTCGTTTGGTCTTGGATTCCGTGCAGTTGGGGGAGCCCTACTGATCTCCCGTTCCAAGTTAGCTGTCCCAGCCCTACTCTGACCTCACTACAATTTGGGAATGATTTTGGAAACTGGTTCCAAATACGATGCCTTGCAGTATTCAAGATGGGGAATTTCCAACCCGAGCACCGAAACAGTAATACAGTGTCCCTGTCCCAGAAGTGCTGTGGCTAAAATTTCCACTTATTCAGGTAAAGGGTTCTCACGTCCATCAGGCTCCTACAGATGAGGACAAATCATGAGTGTTTTCTAGATTATGTGCTTGAAGAAGATTATTTTTCAAGAAGTGGGATCTGCAGCCTTCTACAGACTATCATCAGTTATTAGGCAAATAAGCTGTCTACTAAACACTTTCTACTCGAAGTATGAACACAAGTTAAGCCACCTTTCTGAAATTAACCATTCAAAAAATATTGGAACCATCCCAAAGTAGTTCGTAGGGCTCCAACTTACTTAAATTTAAAGGAGAATATTTGTAGCCCAGGGTTGAACTGTGGGCTCCTCGGTGCTGCCTGAGCTTGGGGCTAACCAAGCTAGTGAGCTCCAAGGACCCACTACTTAACTTTCCGGAAGGGTATCACGGTTGATAGCATCAAAAGCTACCGAGAAGCCCAAGGAGAGCTAGCAGGATTAGGTTTCCTCTCTGCGTCCTAGCAACAGTTTCACCCTCGAGACGAAAACATTCAGAAAAGGTGCATCTGGAAAGCCAGTACCAGCTAAGGGGGCCACCAGCCTCTGACCCAAAGAAAAAAAATAACAGATGCGAAAGAGAATAAGTTGAAAGATCTACAGGATAAAGAGTTGAAAGAAATATCATCTGATGCTGAAATAACAAAAAAAAAAAATAACTGTTGAGCATGTAAAGAAATATTGTTGAAATATTGAAAAAAATAAAAAAGGGGGATGAAATTATAAACCAGGGATAACAGTTAGTGGAAATACAGATGATAAGCCAAGAGAATGACCTGGAAAATGATTTATGAAAGAGGATTGATAAATCCCAGAAGCTTTTAAGATGGGAAAAAGAAAAACGGAAGAGAGGTGTTGAATTCTGTGACAGCATCTGAATAAAGATCAAGATTGCTAGAAGCGAAAGAAAGGAGTAGAAAGTTGGTTTGTTTGACTAAACTTAAAACCAAGACACATTATTGTAAAATTCTGAGAATCTTTATGGACATTTTGCTGTATGAGGACTGAAATAATGATTTATGGGTTTGCGTATGAGTAGGGATAGGATATAGAAAGGAGAGAGACTTATTGTGAAGGTTGAAAGTCTCTGCTTTCTCTTTTTTCATATTTTTTTATTTCCTCTTTTCTCTGGCATTCTCTTTATTTTTCTTGTCTTCTGAGTTTAGTTTGTATAGTATTTTATTGTTTCCTTAGAGACTTTCAAGAACGTTAAAAAGGTAGAAAAGAAAATAGTGCTAAGTGTCATATAGCAAAGTTGATTTGGCCTCTTTTGTCTTGGAGGCAGCTTTCAGTCTTTTGCAGGAGCATCTCTCGCCCTCCATGGTTTCCGTGGCTGCAATTCCACCCTTTGCGGATCCGTTGTTCCTTCCGTTCAGGTATCCGCCTCTCTTGTGAAGAAAGCTCCTCCTTCTCTTCCACCCTCGCCGGAGAATTGCAAAGGGAGGGAACTTGCTCTGGACTTCCTTGGGTGGCCCCTCCGCAAGTACATTGGCCCTCCCGCACAATTCCCAGTGGAGCTGCCCTTCGGGCAGTTCTGGGGAAGGAGACCATGGGAGCTGGGGCGAGTCCGCCGAGGACCCCCTGCTGGCCCAGCAACTGGCATTCCCGTGCGAACACCTGAGACACTTCCGGAGATGAAGTGCACCTTTGCCAGGGCTGAGTAGACGCAGTTGGGCAGGTTTGCTGCTGAGCTGGTTTGGCCAGTGCTCTGGAGATGGGAAGCTACATGTCTGCCTGGGCTTATGTCACGCCAAGGAAGCCCTTTTGGTAAGTCTACCTTTCCGCTTTTCTTGTCTGCCTAGCAGACCTAATTTGCGAAGAGAGGCAACCATTTGGGAGCCCAGCGACGTCAGTGCCTGGAAGCCCTGCCCTCCATCCGCGGTCCTCCTTAGCGTGGAAGCTGGGTGAAGGGACGGTAACTGCAGGGGTCTTCCTGTTTCGCTCTGCGGCAGGATTTTCTGTCCATAGGGCAGATGAAAAGATGGGAAGAGAAGGACCAGGAGAGACAGGATAGCAGTCTTCTAATATGTGAGGGGCTGCCACAGAGAAGAGGGGGGTGGGCAAGCTATTTTCCAAGGCACCTGAAGGCCAGACAAGGAATAATGGATAGGAACTGACCAAGGAGAGATTCAACCTGGAAATAAGGAGGAATTTTCTGAAAATGCAAACAAATAACCCATGGAACAGAAGTTGCCTTCGGAAGTTGTGGGAGCTTCATCACTGGAAGCTTTCAAGAAGAGACTGGACTGCCATCTGTCAGAAATGGTGTAGGGTCTCCTGCTTGGGCTGGGGGGTTGGACTAGATGACCTACAAGGTCCCTTCCAACTCTTGTTAATCTGTAAACCTGTAAAGTGGAAAGTAATAATTTATTATTGAAGAGGCGGTTGCGAGTTTATACATGGACTCCGTACTTGATTGAACTCAATATGTTATTGGAATATAACACTCATTCATTGTTCCTGGCCTGGATATTAGAGGTTGTGTCAAGATTCTGGCAGTTACTCCAATTACCACCTCCAATTGGTGGTATATAGCCTTTCTTAATATTAGTGCCCATAAAGGCCTCCCTTTGTGTTCCCCATGAGCCCCAGATTGTTAGAAGGTAAAATTGGTGGGAAACTCTTTTTCTTTCGAAGTGTTTCTAACAACCTGGAAAAAGGAGAGAGGTGAGTTTAGATGGTGAAGAGCATTTTTGGTACTGGAGGGGGCGGCAGTGAGCAGTTTTACTAGCTGATTTTGCAGTCACCATTCATTAGTTGTCGATGTTCCCAACATGGCAGCCTTTCAGTGAAGGCAGCTATGTCTTATTCTCCAAATTCCATTCTTGCCTGTCTCAAAATGTGGCCTTTCTTCTGCGAAGGGAAGAGTATAAAGAACTTATAAAGGGGTGCTGATGGTCAGAAGCTGTCAATCAGTTACTAAGCCACTGTCAAATTGAATTCATACGATTCCACCACCAAATTAAATTCAGGCTTGACAGCAACCTCAAAAATATCCACTGGTTTTCTTTCAGTGTAGAGCAGGTGTAGAGTACACCAGAAACTGCTGGTGACCTTCTACCGCTGCACCATAGAGAGCATTTTAACATCCTGCACCTCTGTATGGTTTGTCAATTGCACAGGGGCAGATAGGACAGCACTCCAGAGGGTGAATGTCATTGCCTCTCAGAGGATCATGGGTTGCCCTCTCCCCTCTTTGGAAGAGCTTTAGAGCTCCTGCTGCCTTAAGAAAGTTCAAAACATTCTCAAAGATCCATCTCATCCTGGGCACCCCCTTTTTTTGAACTATTACCACCTGGCAGACGGTACAGGATAAGAAAAACAAGGAGGCTGAAAAACAGCTGCTATCCCAGGGCAGTAGCTCTTTTGAATTCTGGTGTATATATAGTGCTGTGTTGGTGTGGTGTTGGGGGTTTCCGGTTCAATGTGTGAAGGGTGAAGGATGTGTGTTTGTGTTTATTTTCATGGTCATGGTGTGCACTGAAGTTGGTGTTTGATTTCGTTGTACGAGGTGCAATGACAATAAAGTAAGCTAAACTAAACTTCGAATCTGAGTTTGGAACTGAACGTGCTGTTTTGTCAGTTCAGTGTAGATTGCAAAATACGTAAAGATTTGAATCACTTCATGACATCTTCTACCTAGATGGAAGTGATTTTCTCTTGCATGCAACAATAGAACCTTGTTTTAAAATAAATAAAAATTGTCACTGAGCATCAGGAAAAGTGATACCCGAGGCCCATTTTCAAAACACCTTCCTTGGAAACCCCAGGTAAACTTAGGAAGGCCTGAGCAATGTGATGCCTCCTTGAGTGAATATGCTATATATTCCAGGAGGAACAGGAAGGAAGAGGTCGGTGGGAGCTCTTTTTGTCCCTTAGACAGTGTGGGGCAGGAGAATAATTTTGTTTTTTTCCTCAGTGGAAATTCCAAAACTCACTCGGTAGGTACATATACAACATAGAAAACTCTGCCGGTGAACTCCTACATCAAAATGCTTTGGTAGTCAAAGATCACTTTAAAGGCCCTGTTTCCTGCCAAACCTGGACCCCCGTCCCAGTCCTTTAACCAGCCAGAGTCAGAAACAAAGGCAAAGTGTTTCGGAATGACAGCGGGTCAGATTTCATGTTCAGTTGCTTGAAGAACGAGTTGGGTGAGTGGAGCTCACTGTGGAAAAACATACCTAGTGAGTGAAGACAGTGTGATCTGGCCAGCATTGGCCAGTTTCCTCTTGGGAAGGTTTCAAGAGTCTGTAGCTGCAAGCCAAAGTTCTCCTCCCCCCCCAGCCCCCATGGAACAGATTGGCCTTCGCTGCAAAGGAAGTGAATTTGGGGGCAGGAGAAGGACAGTTGTGAAATCTTGCCATGGATCTGGTGCCAGGAGTGTTTGTCGCAAAGTGTTCAGAGTGACTGCAGGAGTTTAATTTTTGTTTCCAAAAACTCTTATTCTGAACTCCATTCTGGAGTTCTTTGGTATTTTCTTGCTCAGTAATAACTGTATAGAGTCTTCCTGTCTCTTTCCTTGCTGCTCAGGTGTAACTGCAGCTGTTCCAGGGGGCCTTTTAATATAGCAGAGGCTCCAAGCTGTTTTCCTCATGGTCCGTCTTCCAAATAATGCTTCTTGGTCCACAGCAGATGGAAAGAAACCCTGGTTGTCTCTATGAAGCCTCCTTGCTTCGCCTCTGGTTGGAAGAAGACAACTCTAGTTTGGGTTTTCTTACTGGATTCTCCTTCATTGTCTCTTTCCCAGGTTGAAGAGACGGGAATAGTTGCAGGCTTTCTCTGTTAAAATCAAGCAGCGTTAAACGGGGATTCAAATTAGTACATAGGGTTTGTCTGCCTGCCTGTCTATATCATCTATATCTATCTATATCCATCTCTTTATCTGTCTACGGTATATCTATATCATCTATCTATCGATCATCTATATCATCTATCTAACATCTATCATCTATCTATATCCATCTATTTGTCTATCCATCTAATCTACATCCATCCATCCATCTATCTATCTCTATATCTTCTATCCATCCATCCATCATATTCACTGCCCGTCTCCTTCACCGAGGAATTATGGGTTGTATGTGGAAATAAAATGTTAAAAACATAAAAGCTGAATGTAAAAAATAATTGAAATAGGGCAAGAACGGTGCCCCTCAGGTAGCCAGCAAATAAAACCTTCTTTTTTCTTCCCCCCCACCCTGCCAGCTGCTCCGAGTGCCAGGACCTCCTCACCAACTGGTACTACGAGAAGGAGGCCAAGCTGTACTGCCCCAAGGACTACTGGCGGAAGTTTGGGGAGTCTTGCCACGGCTGCTCGCTGCTGATGACGGGGCCCGTCATGGTAAATCCTACCCTGTGCTCTTCTTCTCCCTTGCCGGGGCCAGCGGGCACCCCAGGGCTTCCCTTCGGGAGAGACGAAGGGCCTCCCTTAGCCACCGAGATGGGAATGGGGAGGGTAGAGCAACACCCATCCTCCAGCAAGCAGGGGGCTGCCTCCCAGGAAATGGCGGCACGAGGAGGCCTTCGCTCCACAGGCCGGTGGGGATTCTCAGCCATCCCGTGGTGGCTGCCTCAAAGGTGCCTTTTCAAAAGGCGGCTGGATGGTTGTTTCCTGGGAGAGGAAGAAGAAGATGAAGACGAAGACGACGTTCCGCTTTTCATCCAAGCAGCATCCTCAGTTGGGACTGGATGGGGCAGGGAGGCAAGGATAGATAGATTCTGGCAGGATGGGTGTGGGGAAGGATTGGATTGTTAGCGCTCTCCCTCCCTCCCTCCCTCTCTCCCTCTCCCTTCTTCTCTCCTTCC